ACACGGTTTAAATGTACACACTCCAACAGAACTCAGACACTCAAAGTACTGTTATAGTATTACCCTGTACGTTTAAACCTAAACATAGATTTAGATATCGGTTCAAAATATACATTTATTACGACTCCTCACAAAAGAAATGTTTTCAAAGGAGGAATGGTTATGGAACAGTTGTTTTATGATACTTACAGTGATATAACATTTATAAAGACAGCTGGTAAGTGTAATAAATCACATTTAAGTTAAGTTACTTAAACAATGATAATATAACGGGCAGGATTCTCACACTTACGATTTGTCTTTTAACGGTTTATTTACAAAAGCAAGTCCGACCTTTGTTTTATAAAAACTACGGCTTACCAATAGGTACGCCTTCTGTTACAGGGTTTTAAATTATTACAATTGAGCATAGGACAGTTATAAAAAATATGCAAACAAAAGCTCAGGAATCTAAACTATCGGATTTTACAAACTAGACAGAATAAGCTGCTACTACAGAGATCAGTACAATATATAGTGTATATTATGTAATGGATAAATAGATGGAGTTGGTCATTGGTGCATCACAAGATGCTGTCAGGCCTATTGACGTCTTTGTGTATGTATATTTACATGATAACACCTTCGAGCCAGTGGAAAAGTGGCAGAAGAAATGTCACTCTATAATGGACATTCCAGCATATGCACTGAATCTTTTTATTGAGGTAAAGTTGTAAAAACTAAGTATATTGGCACATTGAAATGACGTAATCTTATGATTTATTCACCCGGATTCATAAAAATGCATTAAAATATACAGTAATGTATATCAGGCACTGCACTTTTTCATACCGGTACCAAAAAATGCCAAGTGTTTACTTTTCTTTTTTTTTTGGATGATTCAATATAACAGATTAATCCAAAAATGTCTACTGTTAACTGTTAAAAAGTATAGGAAAATTTGAGAGCTTTTAAAATTGATACGGTATGTTAACACATTACAAAATAACGAGATGCACAAATGTTTGATATTTTGCTGAAAAACTGATATTTTCACAATCCTAAGGCCTTCATATAGGCAAGACTTTATAGATGAAGCTGATTATAGTAAATTGAATTGCATTTGAGCTCCTTCTATCTTGACAGGACTGTTTTCACTTTACACTAATTTATTTTTTTTTAATCAAAGCAAATAGGAAATAGCCAATGCATATTGATGCTGTTTTTGTTGTGCTAAGCACAATTCCCTACTGTGGAGGAAATAAGAAGTGATCAGCAAAATATGCTGTTGGATTTATTAAACATCTTGATCTAAGAACCTATAGGCAACAAAACTAGGTAATTTAATATAATTTAAATTCTTGAACCCTTGGATAACAAAAAATACATATCTATTAGGTTTTGGTTTGTGCACTTCTAGAAATGAGTCACTTGATCAGAACTACACCAATTGTGATTAATATTTTGCTGTTTAATTGATATAAAGGGTGTCCCAGTAAGAACGCCGGATTTGAGGAGCGTCTTATCCTTATCTGTATTTCAATAGGAATTCCCAAATTATCAGCGATGTTATCAGTATTAGGTCCCATTTGTAGTCATGAATCGTTACACGACGGAACAACGCGTGGTCATAGTTAAAGTGCACTACAAGTACGGAAGCTGCGCGCTATTTACGGCCGGGACAATGCACCAAATGAGCCATCTGTCCGAAGATTGATTTATAAGTTCGAATAAATTGGCTCAGTTCTATTCTGGGGATATTTAAAGTCGCTTGTTTTCACCAATAATCCTCAACCAATCCAAGACTTAGAGGAGGAAATGATTTGTGCCATTAATGGAATTCAACAGGAAGTGTGTGAAAAAGTGATGGAAAACTTTGTCAAGAGATGTCGAGCTTGTCAGTATTCAGCAGGTTGACACTTACAAGACATAATACTCAATTACTAATCGGAGAGACTATGCTTTAAGATTCATGTTTCATATTGTAAATTTAGCCTGAAAATATATGGTTTGTTAACATTTCAAATCCGGCGTTCTTATTGGGACACCCTTTAGATGCCAACTCATTTTTACTTGAGAGTTACCTTACAAAATAATAAGTTGTCTTTTCAATACCTTTAACTTAATAATACACTTTTGGAAGTTAACATCCCTCTTTAACATGTGAAATTTGTTGCCACTTTTAAAAATTTAAAATCACTTATTTTACTGTAATAGTCACTGACAGAGTAAGCTGCTGTGAAATTGTATTTCAAATTCACCATCATGTTTACTGTTATACTCTGAAAGGGCTACATATTAGCGACTATAGCATCTCTCATGATCACATCGGATATCAGTATCAAATCAAATACTAAGAGAAAAAGTAGGAGCTCAATAGTTGCCAACTCTTGCAACTTGTAACTGGCAGTCCATATAAACTTCATTATACACAAAAGAGTTAAATTAAATGTTGCACTTTAAACAATTTATATCAGAAAATGTTTTCTCCTAGGGTATAGATATGATGTTAATGTTAAATACAAATAATATTGTGTGTGTTTTCCATCTAGTCCAGGACCTGACTAGGGTTCTGTGTGCATGTCGTGTATAGAGAATTTTGCTTTTGCATTTCAATATAGGTGTCTTAGGAAGTGTTTTCCACTCGGGTGTCAAGTTCGCACCTGGTACGTTTTCGAGCTATGACGTCATCAAAATGGCAGCCATTGATTTTTTTAAATCGTATATTTCGCAAACTATTTGTCGGATCGGAATGAACTTTTTTTTGTTTGAAAGATAATTTTAAATGCTACCTGTTTTAAATTTACACATTTTTTGTATGTTTAGTACATTCTTCGTAATTTTGAAAAAACCTGTATTTTTAAATATTTTTGTGTTATTTTTGTTTGTAACGTTTTATTGATACAATTTATCAAAAACCACCAATGAAAAAAGTTGTAGAACGTTTAAAAATCTTTACAAAAATACCAAATTCGATATGTTTTACTCAAAAGATTACGTCAAGAAACTCGATAAATCTCATAAAAACACCAATTTTGGCGTAAAAACGCCTATTAGGGCATGTAGGGCAGTTCGCAAGTCTTATAAAGACAGTTTTACCATTCAATGTTGATGTATGTGTCTAAATAAGTGTTTTCAACTCGGGTGTCACGTCTGCACCCACTGCAGTTTCCGGTTATGACGTCATTAAAATGGCGGAAAGGGCTATATTAAAAATAACTATATTTTACATACCATGTTTCGGATCGGAATGAACATTTTTTTGTTTGAAAGATGAGTTTACATGCTATCTTTCTTACATTTACACTTTTGTTGTATGTTTAGTACATTTTTCGTAATTTTGCAAAAACCTATATTTTTAAACATTTTTGTGTTATTTTTGTAAATAACGTTTTATTGATACAATATAACAGAAATAACTTAAAGACAAAGTTGTAGCACGTTAAAAGGGCTTTGCAAAAATATCAAATTCGATATGATTAACTCAAAGGATTACGCCAAGAAACTAGAAAAATCGTACAAAAACAACCTAATTCGGTGCAAAAACGCATATAAATCCGACATCGATGGATGTGTTCGAGTCATATATAGACAGTTTTACCATTCAATGTTGATGTATGTGTAAAGAAGTGTTTTTAACTCGGGTGTCACGTCTGGACCCACTGCAGTTTCCGGTTATGATGTCTTTAAAATTGCTACATGTTACGATTTCACCAACTATTTTACTTAAAATAAGACCATTACCTTCTTTTATGCAAATAAAAGCACAACAAATCAATGTAATTAGTCCATAAGAATGTTTCCACTATATAAATACCCCCGGTGCAGCAATCCTGTCGACTAAGCGAAGTTCCATTTGCCTGGATTGATTTTCAATTAATCTATTAAATTAACATTGTTTAAGAATACCTACGTTTGCTGCTTAAGGGAAACTAATAAAGTGGATTTGTTATTAAAATATTAATAGCTTAGTACTGGATAAATAAATCTGCCAAGTTTGATCAAAATATATCCATAAACAAGCCAACTACTACAGTTACAATATTGTCCATAAGAATAACATTGGAGTTTTAAATGAAAAATATTTTTATTTTCTCAGTAACCAATAACCGTTCAAAAACACTTCTACCGTTCAAAAAACATAGGTACTCTTAAACAATGTTAATTTAATAGATTAATTGAAAATCAATCCAGGCACTTAAAAACATTTCTTTACACATACATCAACATTGAATGGTAAAACTGTCTATATATGACTCGAACACAGCCATCGATGTCGGATTTATATGCGTTTTTGCGCCGAATTAGGTTGTTTTGTACGATTTTTCTAGTTTCTTGACGTGATCCTTTGAGTAAAGCATATCGAATTTGGTATTTTTGTAAAGCCCTTTTAACGTGCTACAACTTTGTCTTTAAGTTATTTCTGATATATTGTATCAATAAAACGTTATTTACAAAAATAACACAAAAGTGTTTAAAAATATAGGTTTTTGCAAAATTACGAAAAATGTACTAAACATACAACAAAAGTGTAAATGTAAGAAAGATAGCATGTAAACTTATCTTTCAAACAAAAAAATGTTCATTCCGATCCGAAACATGGTATGTAAAATATAGTTATTTTTAATATAGCCCTTTCCGCCATTTTAATGACGTCATAACCGGAAACTGCAGTGGGTGCAGACGTGACACCCGAGTTGAAAACACTTATTTAGACACATACATCAACATTGAATGGTAAAACTGTCTTTATAAGACTTGCGAACTGCCCTAGATGCCGGACTAATAGGCGTTTTTGCGCCAAAATTGGTGTTTTTATGAGATTTATCGAGTTTCTTGACGTAATCTTTTGAGTAAAACATATCGAATTTGGTATTTTTGTAAAGATTTTTAAACGTTCTACAACTTTTTTCATTGGTGGTTTTTGATAAATTGTATCAATAAAACGTTACAAACAAAAATAACACAAAAATATTTAAAAATACAGGTTTTTTCAAAATTACGAAGAATGTACTAAACATACAAAAAATGTGTAAATTTAAAACAGGTAGCATTTAAAATTATCTTTCAAACAAAAAAAAGTTCATTCCGATCCGACAAATAGTTTGCGAAATATACGATTTAAAAAAATCAATGGCTGCCATTTTGATGACGTCATAGCTCGAAAACGTACCAGGTGCGAACTTGACACCCGAGTGGAAAACACTTCCTAAGACACCTATATTGAAATGCAAAAGCAAAATTCTCTATACACGACATGCACACAGAACCCTAGTCAGGTCCTGGACTAATCTGTAAAGTCTATAATTTAAAATTATGTAAGTTAATTTTTTTTATAAATTCTAACAATAGCACCCATAAAAAAAATAGGTAGTAGCAATAAGTATACTTAAACGTAGATCATGATAAAGAGTCAATTAAAATACATAATATCTTGAAATCAATTTTTGATTCTATAATTTTTTTACTTTTTCTATTCATACAGAAAACTTACATTTTCCACCTTAATTTTCTTCACAGTGATATAATTCTCCTCAATTTCTATTTGGTAGAATGAAATGATAAACTCAATCAGGAAAAAAAATTAAATTAATCTACTTTAGACTCTTATGTGGATTGCTCTTCCAACAGTCATCAGAAATTTGCCAAACCTTCTACTGTTTGTTACGATGGAGAATGTTGGGGGTGCCAAACCCCCCGAGCTCACTGTAAGTGGAGGGTCCATCGCCGTAGATGGCACTTGGACCCTCCATGCTACAAACGGAATCTTCTGGTGTACGTGAGACTTCGTTTTCTGTCACTTCCGTTGTTTCGTGAGGTAACGGCCGAGAGGACTGCCGCTGTTGTCTCTGAAGCGCCTGTAACATTCGTCCTCAATTTTAGACTGAATATTTTTAAACTAAATTGTTAAAAAGGTAAAACCGTTGTTTATTAATATTTCAGATTGAAATGTTAATGTTAATTATCTTCTTTTTTCTCTAAAATTGTTTAGTCCATTGTGAACAGTCTTCAAGCTTAAGGAGATTGAACTTCCAAATAAAGGTATTTTGTCTTCTTTTTCAGATTGGAAACATCTTCATGATAACTGATCCATCATGACATACTTGATGAGTGGCCATCCAGGCTGCTTTGGCCATCCATGATTGTTTTTTAATGGCCTTCAAAGTAGATTTCCCAGTCTTCTTAGCAGGGCCGCTTTTATAAATAAGGTAGGTGGGCCGGAGCCCAGACGCGCAAGAGATTTTAGGTTGGTTGGGGGAGCAAAGAATAGAAAAATTCCCCCCACAATGTATGTGGTGATCTCTCAGCCCCATAGCGCAACACATGTAAACTGCAGGCCTGCTTCTTAGTTCAAGGGAAGATGGACTTCAGTGGCTTAATTGCTTAGGATTTAGCTTTGATAAGATACTTCGCTATTTCTTTTTGTTGGGATTAAAATTTTGTTTTAATAAGTTCATGCAAATCTAACTATTATTATGAAATATTTTTTCCAACATAAACTATCCCTAGAGACTGTCTGGAGAAGCTATACAATTTATAATTTTATGAAATGTGCTAAGATGCACATTGTCTTGTCGGTAACATGCATGACTCATTTCTTCTCTCATTCATCTGATCCATAAATTAATTAACAGAATCTATCTTGTTTAACCTAAAACATAGATGATAGCCATGCTTTAAAACAGAAAATTGTTTGCTGCCATATACATTTAATTTAACTGAGTAGAAAACAAATCAAATACAGTACCTTGGACATAAATATAGAGTATTTCTATGGTTAATTGGATGATCTTCATGCAGTAGAGTTGAGTTCCACTATTCCAAACTATTTGGGACCAAAGCCTTTGCGGATAAGCGGAAATTCAGAATAAGTTGATTTTCTTAATATCAAAACATTAACGGGAAAATAGTCGCAATTGTGACGTTCATGATCTCAGGATATGATTAAAATAATTTCAAGAGGTTTTTAATATGAAAATGATAGCCGACATTCATGTTGTATTGTTCATAAGAAATATTTACTATGTTTGTGCTCGAATTCAAGTACTATAGGCTATTAACTTGTTCTTCAATAGGCGTTAGCCAATTTGTTATGTGATAATGACGTATGGTTGAGTAGATCAGTAGTTATAGTACTCGCCTAGTAGAAATCAATCATAAGGTTGACAGTTACTTCCTGAGAAAAATGTGTAACTTTTTTTATGGTTTGATAATGGACACGGTTTAAAGCTGTATTTTTTCAGTAGCCTTGGACCCAGCTGTCCTTGATCATTCCGCTTTTAATAAATGGACCTGACTAATGAAACAACTCATCTTATTCAGTAACAAAGCTACACACAGATAATCTCACTATAGGGATGAAAGACGACGCAAAATTTAGGCGACCGACTAAAACGAATTTAGAATTCTTCAGTTGAGTTCTCCCCGTTCCTAGCCATATTGGCCATGGAGGGGCATCAGCCCAAGCAGCCATGCCGCATGACGTCAGTTGGCTCACTGTAAGGTGCTGCTCCCTAGCGGTAATTTGGGGCGTTATACAAACTACTGTAGTTGCGCAGTTACTTGGTTCAGCCAAGGCCCCACTAGAAAAAACAGGCAATGCTGCAGCAGGGGCAGCGCAACACTACGTCACAGTGGTGGATAGTTGTACTAAAATCTTACCATTAAAATCTTACAAACAGCCAGCTTGTTTATTTACCTAAAACATATGGGAATGGTGATGGCAATTAATTTATCAATGAAATCCATCCACTAGTGTGACGTCATGAATCCTGCAGCATGGCCTTGTTTTTCTAGTGGGGCCTTGGTTCAGCTTGGTTCCAGCCATGTGCTGTGGCACGGGCCATCACACAAAGCAGCCTGATGTGGGCAAGTCACATGGGTGATCGGAACTAAGTGAAAATTAATGCAAAGGAGTCTAACTGAAATTAAATATTTTTCAAACAATGTTTTATGTTAATGTCTAGGTTTATTTATATGTTCATGTCTCCATAACTCTAGTGTTAATGTAATGCAATTGGTATTCCGTCAATGTCAACAACTAGATTTGTATAATGAATTCGAATATTTATATATTTATAGGAGGAAATTTACATATTTATCTGCACCTTGCAAGCGTTTACACCGATACTATTTTGCATGCAATTATTGTATTTAGCAGTACATTAGGTTTTCTTTTTCCTATAAAATATCAGAATCAGTACATTTATTAAATAATTTTTAAAGGTGACTTGCTAACAACCTAAAAAGCATCATTCGTCAAATACAAACTCTACAGCAACACAGCCAAGTAAAATTACATAAAACATACCTTTTCTCTACTTCCTTTTTTCTGTGAGGAAGAAAAAAACAAAATCATTAGTTAAAACCAATCAAATTTCACACTACATTCTTACCATAACTGAGAAGCGGGTTAAAGTTGCACTACGGTCGTCTGGTTTGGTTTCGGTAAATTTAGTACCTGACACTGAAAATAACAATGAGATTTAAACTAAAAGTTTTAGGGAGTTTTAAGGGCGTTAAAGTGATTGCCAAACAAAACAATATTTGTAAACAGTAATGATAAATTTTCCTCAGGACTTACAAGAAATGAACAAATAAAGAGGTATCTTTTGGATTATCAATTGTGGGTATCTAAACAAAAACATGGGTGTCTACAGTAGACTATAGTATATCCAACAACAGTCTGTAAATTAAGGTCTCTGTCTCCACTTTTAGTTCTAGTTATGGCCAAGCGAGCTAATTAAAATCTGAGACCAATGGGTCGCCCACTGTGAAAATGTATACAGCTTTCTGCAATCTACTTAAGGCATATGCACATTTTCTACGAGAAAACACTTTTCTGCCGAACAGGGATTGACCCTTTCCTACAGAAACTTTACTATGTAACTTGATTATTTATACTTGGTTAGAGCGTAAATTTTCTTTCACAACGCTTTCAAGAACTATGACGAGACTGAGTTTTTTAAAGAGGTTGACGGCCTCTTTTAAGCTTGCATTTGCCTATCTGCGTAGACTAAAGATCTGTGCGTGGAACATATCCAGCAAAGCAAGGGGTGAGCCGGTACAGTACAAGGGAGTACTGATAAAAAATAGTGGCAGGTACTAGGAACCAAACCTACGGTGTCCCTGTCTTGGGCCCAAAGTCTGTGGTGCTATGGACTGAGCCAACGACTCACCTAATCATTCCATTGGGGTGGGAACCAGTTAGAATAGCAGTGGACAAAGTAAAGATCAGATTTGAACTAGCTAGCGTGGATGTGACAGGAACTCTAATTAGACCTTAGGACAGCCTTTATTTTATCATCACCCTTGTTTTGCAGAATCATCTTCTGGCTTTCCTTTGATCCTTGTTCTGTCTCTTAAGCGTATAATAAACCTCTGGATTCCCTGTATTTCTTCACCCTTTTCACCATATATTTTACTTATGTTTATTAACATGCTGCACACTACAAATGTTTAAGTAATGACCAACTGATCACAAAGTCCTCAAGCAGCCCTAGTACTGTCAACCATGCTGATGTCTCAAACAATCCACTCATAGCTATGGGTAAAGTTATAACTCAGCTGGAAGTTCCTCTTATTTTGTACCAGCATTGGCCTTCTTTTATACCTTAAAATACTGGCAACCAGTAGCTTCAAGAAAGATCTTGTTATGTTAGTTAAGTACTCTTCTTAGCTTTTGTTATTATTACTTTTACTTCTCTGTACAAAATCTAATCCTTCTTTTAATAACTTTAAAACTAGAGAATTCAAATATTGATTAACTCAAATGTGTCAGGACCCCAGAATATCAATAATGTTTCATCTTTTACTCCATTGCTAAAAAGACCAATTATTATGATTTTAAATACAAAAAATCCTTTAGCACTTAATTCTATGTTAGAATAATAGCTTATGAGCTGATTTGAAATTTGTCTTATCTCTAAAAATTATGTGTTTTGTAAAGGATTAAACACATTTACAAATTGCATGCATAGATTCTACAGTACTAATAAGGTAAAAAGCTTTCAAGTTTTTTAGAAAACTACTCACAGTACTGGTATCAAAAAGTTGTCTTAGGTAAAGTACAATAGAAAATGTTCACAGATATTGGTGAAAGCTTTGATTTGTTGTTGGGAGATACCTGAAGGGAAAACCGCCTGTGTGCAACTTTGCGGCCTCCTCTTCGTTTGGATATGTGAGGATTGTTTTGGCGAATTGTTTTATTCTTCAAAACTTCAAGTTGAGTGTACAGTCTCTTCAACTCAGCCTGAAAGGAAATTTAAAATTTAGTTTACAAAGAGTTTTAGGAGAGAAGCCTATATTAACTCAATCTATCTTACAGAAATAGTCAACTATTCAAATCAAGGACTTTTGTGACAATTTAGCTAAACTTGATGGAAAGTGTACATTCTGGCACAGAAGTGCAAAAACTTCACACTAAACACAAACAATCAAACTCAACTTGGGAAAGCTAAACCATGTGTTTCTTGTGCCAGAGAGGATCTTTCCATTTCAGGAGAAAATTCTATCGTTAAAAATCCATAAAACAGCTAGATCCTTGGTCTATTTATGTTCACCCTTAACAATCAATTCACTTATGAATATTGTACTGAAAAACAAAGTAAGTATATGATTCAGAATATTTATATTAAGGTGTGTTTTCCTATCTGTGGGGTACACTTTAGTAAACCATGCACTAAATAAATGGAATATCATTGGCTACCATTATATACAGAAAGATAAAAGATGTACTAGCTTGTATAAACTTTTTTCTGTTTTATAATTTTAGTTTTACAATATGAGAAGCCAAGAATCAATCCACAATTTAATAGACATCTGAGAAAGTTACTCAGTCTTGATTATTTGTTTTTCGGCTATACGAACTTCTGTGTTATCCGACTGAGTACCATAAATCATGGGCTATTTCTGTATCTAAGAGCACAATCAATGGCAGCGAAATATTAGGGAGAGGAGACAGAAGAACAATCACCAGGTACCAAAAGTTAGGAGTTGGGTACCCAGCTGGCCCAAAATCGACTGATTACCTTGGGTGACAATAATCTTACCTCGGCCCTACATCCAATCCCATCAGGAAAACAATTCAATTTGAAGAACGAAAATATAGAAGACTGGAATGGGCTATAAAGGCTGTACATGAGATATCGCTTATGGTAAACATTTATTTTTGTTTGTATTCAGTAATTCTTGAAAACCTACCATTAACCATTTGTGAAATACTTGTGAAGATTTATCAAAACTTATACAAATATTAAACAGTAAGAAATGCGTACTCGGATGTCTTCTGGATTCATCTCAGCGAGGCTAACCTCCGCCACATCCATGTCTCCATACAAGACTCCGTCCTGTGGCTTGTATGCATCTGATGGCTCATGGGACAAGTGATGTCTCGAGTCTCTCACCTGCTTGTGTTGATACCACAGCTGTAACATCAAACTCAAATAAACTGTTCAATCCGTAAATGTTAGTGCTCAATCTTAACATGCACCCTCACACCCATGAAGAACCCAAGTCCTACAGGGTTTTGTTGTCTTTTTTTATCTGGTTAACTTTGTCATAGGGTATGTTATTATTGATTATGGGGCAATTGTAAAATAAACCGTTGATCAGTAAACATTAGAAACAAAAGACCATTCATTTCAGTCTTCATTCATTGATGAGGAACCCAAGTCCTACAGGGTTCTTTGTTGTCTGTCTTATTTTGTCTGGTTAACTTTGGAGGTCTGTATGGATGGGATAACACAGCATCCATATTCAACAATGTAGAGATGATAATGGAAATGTTTACTTCATAATATTGTAAATGATGAGTTTATATACTCAAAGCCCAATACATGAATTAAATTTGTCTGGTCAATTTGATAAGAAAAGCGACAAGGCAATTTAATCCTACTATAGTAGGATGTAAGTTACAACATAGTGACCTCTGAAGATGCCACAACTTTGTGGTGAAATGCGCATCAGGAAAATAACACTTCAAGAACTCAAGGCAACTATAAAACAAAAGGTAACTTTTGAGACACAATCAAGGGGATATGGTTTAGAGATTGAGCTGTTGATTCTAGATAGTGTGTAATGAATTATGCACAAACTTTGCACCAGCCCAGTTTTCTACATGGCCAGTTTTGGCCCCAGAAGCACATCTGATTTTCTTCAATATCATGACTTACTTTCGGAGTGAAGATTAGCATCAAGACAAGCGTGTTTGTCAGCTGACTGCGTGCAAAAGCCGCTAGAAACGCCTGATCAGGGTGCAGTGTGTTCCAGTAGAGAGCTCGGACTACGTAGAAAACACAACTGACAATGGCTTCCACTAGCACAGTACAGCACAGGAACCTGCAGCAAACAAGTTGAAACTTGATCAAAGGTTTCAAATAAATTTTACTCTGAATACTGCTTGGTTTTTAAGAATAACCTGAAAGATTAACCAGGCCAACGGCGGATGAGCGCAAGTTTATGCAGCGGCTGTGGCAGCAGAGTGGGGGTGTCAGGGCTACCAGCTTAAGCCCCCCACACACTATTGAATATGCAGTTGGACCCGACCTGGTGACGGACCCAGCATCCAACCTGACAATGTCGGGTGTTTCCCACACTCGAGCATGTTATCAAACAAGTCGGGTATAGTTTATTTTTTAGATGGATTTTGAGACGAGGATTCAGCTATTTGTGCTCAATTTTTTTGTTTGAAACAAAAAAAGAAAAATAGGAGGTGTTGGTCAGTGCAGTGGTTGTTGGATGGAAACAAGTTTATCCACATTAGGCTCCTAAGGATATCAGGCCCCGGGTACGATACAAGCTGCCAGCGGCGCTGCTCTGACACCTGGTCTCATTTAATTGTGTGTAAATTTGTTGAGGTGGCGACGATAAGTCTAAGCGGCGAGTGGCAGTAAAGGATGCCGCTTAGCGCCGCTCAAGGTTCCACGTCAAAAACTATTTTCGCAAAAACGCCACTCGCCGTGAGTCATGCTTCAGTTCAGCCAAAAATAACAGAGGAACAGCAGCAAAGGTGCAATACGTCTTGATACGCAAGGTGCAGTCCAGGGAATGTTTGTTGAATGACCAACAGGGGGTTTTAAAAACACTTCAATCGCCAGAAAATTATGAGACGAAGTAAGGGCTCAGTTTTTTTCTAAAACCTAAGTATTTCTTTAAATGCGAACAATTTTCAGATAGCAGCTATAGTTGCATTACGTCTTGCGGGTAAGCACAGTTTGCCATTTTCGCCTAACCTTACTCCTACAACTGAGGAAACTTGATGAGCATTATAAATAATGTGCTGCTTGTATCGTAGCTACCACTGCCGCTCAGGTTGCAGCTCGCCGCTTGCCGTTTACCGCTCATCGCTCGCCGCTCGTATCGTACCCAAGGCCTCATACCCCTCTTTTGAGCATGTTGGATTGGAACCCACAGACTGTCAAATATGTGTGTGTGGTGCTTTAAAGAATTCAATTTAGCACTAAAGAATTTTGTGGTTATAGTGTGATGAGAGAATAGAATACTATGAATTCCTTTACAGGAGTGGATTTGAATACTTGAATGTGAACAATACTTTCTGGGTGGAGCATTGTGCCATTACTCAGACTGTGGCTTACTAAAAAACAATAAATTTGCTTCTTTAAGTGTGGCCCACAGAGGTGTACATTATTTCAGAGCAGTTTTAGGTACAAACCGTCGTTCCTCAAACTGTACTGTGGCATTCCGGGCAGCCAGTCCAAGGTGGAGTCCAAACAGTAGAATCATCATCTCTCCTGCAAACCAAAACAGAGGTTGGGTTATTAGAAAATGAGTTATGAAATTCTCCTAAAATATTATTTGGATAGTTACACTACAGGGTTTTAACAAACTTCCAACGCAAGGATTTAGTCCAGAAAACATCTGTTTGCTGCCAGTTTAATAAAATGGGGTTCCATTGCTTGTATAACTTTCTGTAATGGGCTTTTACCGGACCCTAACCAGCTGGTTATAATTATTGGCAATGAGTGGTCTTAAACAAAAACATAGCCTCTCTTAGAGGTCATGAGTAGTCTATGTTAGTCCTTTAGTCGGTGGGAATATATCAGGATTTGTGTAAATTTTTTAATGGTAAGTTAGCTTAGAGTAGTGATAGCATAAAATATCATACGTTACTCATCCAAACTGTGTTTACCGGACTCATATGTAATCCCTACGACCACACTCGTCTGGTAAACACCTATTTTCAGGACTATATAGTAATGTAATATACTATTTTTTTATTTTGAAAGCAGACCAGTTGTTGAGGGAAGCAAAAACATAGACAACTCATAATGAGCAGCACAATGAGTTGTTGAGAATGACAGTTAAAACATTTTACAATTTGTATTTGTATATCTTTGTTCCTATGCCATTAGTATATCATAAAGTTTTTATTTTGTTTTTTGTTGTTTTTGTAAGGAGACAGTCCAAACCCTGACCTTGTTACTATGTCTATCTTTAATACAATTGTTGAACTCAATGCCAACGTTCTACAAATTCAAATTAACAACAGTAGGTAACGGAAACATGTTACCAGCATAAATAACACATAGCAGGACCGCTTTTATAACTATCTCGGTAACTAAATCTGGTGGAAATAAAATTTAAGATTATAGCCCAGCTGTCTGTGAATGGTTCATTGAACTATTCTTATTATACAGCTTATCCATATAGGTGTCTATATACTTCAGTATAGAGTACAAAAGTAAAAGTTTACCTGCTTCCGTGACGTAGTCCCACCAGAGAGGTTTACAAGCCTGGAAGTGCAGCCCTGAGTCAGTGTAGCCGATTGTGAGTAGACTGAAGCCTTCTTGACGGAAGTTTAAGTTGGTAGCAGTCCAGGCTGCCAGGTATGCCAACATGATCACAACCATTCCCGATAGATACTTCAGTAGATCCTTATCTCTCACTACCCACCTGTGAGCTTTCCGTGTCCTGAACTCCATGAGAATTCTGAAAGTCAAAGTATGTGGTGTAAGTTTGCCATTCACCATACATTTGAATGGGTTTCTCTTTGACTTGTCAAATAGAGAATTGAGAATTTTCAGGTTCCTGGCCTTTTTTTATTTTTTATTTTTACCTTGTGCTATGGTCAAAGCTTTGTTTTACTGAGTTCCTGAAGACGTCATTTGAGGAAATGTACAGTTTTTAAGAACTAACGCATGATGCACTTAGTGTGCCGATTAAATATATTTATTTTATAATATGATGTAATAAGTTTAGGTTGTGTCAGTTTGAGTGACAAGCTGGAGGCATTTGCACACAGTTACCATACTATCACTTTTGCTATTTTGTAGAGTATAACAACTAATTCCGCTGGATTAATTCAATACCAGTAGAGTTTGTTGATGTTACTCTCGATGTTATGGAGATCCTTTTCCTTTTCCCTCCCACACACAGGAGAGCCCAAAGGTTGGGGGTGGATGCAGAGTTATGCCACTGGAATTTTTAGGGGATGGGATTTTATTTTGCATATTGAAATTGTAATTAGTAGTGTTTTTGAAGCCCAAAAAGATTTGCTGTTAAATTCATAAATTCTATTACCTCTTGCAACACAATTTTAGCTATTCATAATTAATATTTTTCACCGCAACAACACATTGTCATTGTGATTGCAAGAGATGCTCTTAATTACACCACAATCATGTGATACGATGATGATGTCTTTGTAGTCGTGGGAAAGGAGATGTTAAATATTTCTCTGCAAAAACAGGAGATGATCTCGATAGAAAGTCATTGGGGTGGTCGTGGACACAGAGAGTTTAGAAACAGAGGATACATTCAATGGTACACTTAAGTGATGTGTCTAGCACCAGTCGCTGGTGTCTAGGGCAAATTCTATTCGTCGTCCACTCCCGCTCTTCTTTCCCACTTTGCCGTCATGTACTACAGCACTCATGCCGTAGGAAGACCCGTGCCCTATAAAACTGCTGTACAGTAATGCTATGTGACCGTCGCAGTTTGCTCAGGTCAAGTACATTTCAGCCTCAACAAACCAGAGCTAAAAGGAGTGGGTCGAAAGTGGTCAAGAGTGAGTGAAAGGAAAAGTAGTTAAATTGTCTCCAGTCCCTTAGCGTCTTCCTGATTTTGCCTTTGTCTATTTTTGGTTTCATAATTTCATCATTTCTGGTTTGGGTGAAGGGGCCCTGCCTAATTCTCTTTTACGGGCATGGCCATTTCATCATTTCAGATGTTAGTGGTTTTCCACTCTTTTTTACTTATTAAAAACTTGACATTTTGGTTTCAGTGTGGGAAAGGGCGCAAGTGGCTATGTTATAGGGGGTGAAATAAAGAGGAAATATGAAATGAAAGGGAGTTGCACACCTGACCAGGAGGGGGTAGGTATGCAACTGTGCCTACACTCTATTATAATTGACACCATCATTACTCATGAAAACTGGATGTTTGTGCATATACTATGTACCTAAGTGAAGTCAGTCAAACACTAACTGTACCTAATTCTTCCTCAGCAATGGGAAAAAATATGGGTGATCTTTGAAGACAAAATCGAGTTAACAAATTTTAATTGTTAAAGAGAAAACTGTGTTTTTGTTAAAACTTATACAGGTATCCAAATTTGTTATTACTGACTTCAGGATTTTCATTTGAATTCCTCTACCTTGTTTTGTAGAAGCCTTTGTGCTCAAAGAATATCTCTACTTGATCTCTGTTATGTTTTGCCTTGAGGTGTAACATGTTTTTGTTTTTTTTTTTACTATAGTCATACAATATACAATATATTGATGTGACACTACCCGCACTGAGTTTGTGTTTGTGGAACAGCATCCTTCTGAAAGTGAGGACGGCCGTGGATGTGGAGCGCTCACCCCTGCTATATCAAAAACTTGACAAATATCTTCTGCAATTAAGGAAGGCTTCTACAAAAACAGGCTATTACCTCTATAGTTATAGAAGAGGCAGTCAATTGTTTTAGTATTTGATTTTCTATAGGACAGCCTGTTAAACTTAATTTAATGCTGGTTCTTGTTTGATGTCCAACTTTCAATGGTATAAATAGCTGACCAGATACATGCTTTGGCATGCAGCTTTTTACTGACCTGTACAGCTTAAGTATAATTGCTCCATAGCAAACAATGAAGCCTAATTCTCTGAACCAAGGCTCAAACAAGCAGCGCTCGATGGATGGTTCAAAAAAGTGAACAATGACCTGAAAAATAAAATTAACATTTTTGACAAAAACCCAAACACTAAACAAAGCATCAAGCATTACATCAAAGAAAGCATTAGAATCATAATTTTTGCATTCATTTTGTGGAGAGAAAGCTATATTAACAGCATGGCAGAGCAAATTTTAAAATCCTTTTAACAGCATGGCAGGGTAAATTTTAAAATTCTTTTTTCTGAACAGTGATGTGTAGTGGGGTAAGAACAAGTAAGCGTTTGCAATATGTTTTTTTCAGCTACTGGGTAGCAGAGCGGTTATAGTAACAGTACTCGCCAGACAAATAAAGGTTTACCTGATCAATTCTAAAAAATTTCAATAGCTTTTTGATGTAATAAAAATAGGCTAGCTGTCCTTGATTATTGGGCTTTTTGCACATGTTTCTGGCCGAAGAAACAGAGCGAGTCGATCTTTGCCAACAGCAAAGCTACACAAATGTATCTTATTTCATTCTACTCTCATATTTCTTACTCAGCTTAGCTTATATTTGCATTCAGCTAAAAATAAGCAAACAGGTACATGGTCTCAAATTAGGAATAGTTATAACAATTAGTGGTACTTTCCTGTTAAAGGGAACATTCATTATTATCGATGATTTTGGTCTCGATATATCGATATTTTTGTTTACCGATCCATTACATATTTACAACTGATCTCGTTTAGGCTAAAATAGTCTATGATATGGATTAAGAAACGAAACTGTTCTAAGCTAACCTTACATAACCAACCAAACTTGCTGTATTATTTAAAAATACCTTTTGATAACAGAAAAGGCAAGTTAAACATGGAATGTTACACAGCAAGTTTGGTTAGTTATGTTAGGTTATTTTATTTTAACAGTTTCATTTCATTATTGTTTGTTGATACTGAACAATATTTATCGTAGTTGTCAGCTGATATGTTTCAATTTGTTAATACCGATATATCGAGACAAAAATCATCGATAATAATGAATGTTCCCTTTAACAGGAAAGTACCCAATTAGTTCCCCAATGTGGGTTTGGATTAAAACTGTTGTTACCGGGGTTTTTTTTTTTTTTTCATTCAGATTGTTTTTTACTGACTTACACAAATAGTCTTTCTTACCGAAGCATACAGAAGAAGAATGCCAATAAGTATGGTTTCCAGAATGGTCCACATGCCAGAAGCAATAGTCTGTAAATCATAAAACATTGTAAAATTATTAGTTGATAAAATTGTACTCCTTAAATCAAAGCTAAAGCTTTAAGTTCAGAGAAAGCGCGAATAGCCCTAGTACTTTAAGACAACTAATCTATAAGGACCAGTTGTAGAAACTGTTTATGCAGTTAAAACATATAGTTAAATGAGTCTCTTTACAAATAGTTTTCAGTCAAAAGTTGTATTTCCTATCTTAGTTTTTGGTACTATGATAGTTTATGTGAAAGAATGCTGAAAGATGCTCCAGTTTAGGATAAATTGTCCTTCAAGTTTGACTTTTGGTTCAAAGGTTGGCGTATACAATAAAAATAGGTAAGTAAATAATAGCAAAACACTATGGCAATAGCTCAATCAATTCAACCTCCTTCAATTAATTCCTAAACCAGCCACAAATGTTTAAGAGTATGTCAAGTAATTTTTCTAAAAAAAAAATGAGGATTTATTGAAAGCCGAACACACCTTGCATTTACGCTTACGGAAGACAACGACAGCCAGGACGACAGTGATAACTATACAGAACAACTGAGCAGCTAGGATGAAGGTTCTCAGGAACAAGTCCATCTGAGCTGCACATTGCTTGCCTTCTCCACAACTGGGAACACATCTGCAAACATTATCAGTGATTAACTCGGGCAAGTAGTGCAAAACTAATGCTGGAGGCCCTGGTTTTGGTACTATTTATATATTTTTTTAATTCTGAGTCCAGAATCAATTCAGTTTTGGACAAATCAGTTCAGGAGCAATCCAGCAAGGTCGACGACTATAACATGGAGAAGTAAGATACAGAGTAATCACGCTTATGGGACGATCAAGCATTGGAGGCTCTGGTATGTTGTGGCATAAATGTATTTGTAAGGAATGTACAAGTATTCCATGTATGAGGAAGAGTTGGAAAGGCGAGCACACTGTGCAGAAATTCCTTTCGCACAGGCACAATAAGGTCTTCCTCGACCGTGAGCGTTATAGTACATGAGGTCGAGGGGGACAGAGTTGGTCTTAGCCCTAGACTCCACTTGAGTGTGCCATTGAATTATTCCTCTCTACCTTACTTCTCTTTGACAATAACCACTTGGCTACCCAGACAATTAAAAGTCTTCTTAGTCTTGAAATGTTTTTGGTTTTAAAAATACTACAAACATACTACCGTCCTTTACAATCAAAACTAGTTATTACAATTTTTAAATCACCACACTCCAATTACTTAAAATAAAAGTATTTTAAGTGTGAGTAGTTATTGACTTTTGTTTGAAGAAATTATTTCACATTTTACTTATTATTTTTACACATTTTTTTAGATAATAGGTTAGACCAATAATTAGACTACTTAGATTAAATCCACACAGCTAATTAGATATTAAAACTATAATTATCCCAAAAATCTTCCCAAGAACATGTCTTCAAAGTCTGATAATTAAGGTGCATAAAAGAGCTTGAGCTAGAGTAGAAATGAAAGAAAAGTAGGTTGGATTAAATGAGAACGAAGGCGAAGGCGGATTATTGTGCAGGTCGCAGATAAGCTTGCCAAACAAAGGTTTTGTGCCTGTGCATAACCGCAGCAAAATTACCACCAAGCCTACACAGATGGTAATCTGCTAGTTTTAAATATGAAATCGTTTTTGTATCTGGTGATAAATTTAAATTTTTAATCACATCTACATTGTATAACGGTGGTAGTTTTTTCTTTAATGAGCATTTTTTATTTTCTAAGTTTTTAAGTCCAAAGAGCATACAGTCAATCCAGTAAAAATATTTTTTATATCTGGTAATAAGGAGAAAAGATTAAAAGAACTATTCGAGTTCCAATTGCAGTTTCATGTACCTTAAATTTAGTTGATGTTTAAATTTGTCTAAAGAAAGGATCATGCCTATAGTTTTGTTATAATCTATCAATAAGGCATTTCAGTAGTTACAGTACAGTATTACATGTAAGGTTTTTTTTATTTCAGTAGAGGAGTTAAAATTTCAGAATTTTGTGCAACTTGTATTAAAACATCCATCATTATTGCCAACATTGAGTTTTATCATGTTAATTGTTTTGTATAATTTGTCAATAATATGTTTACATTTAGTTAGGTACACCACAGAGAAGTAAATTACAACTCTGTGGTTATAGTTACATATTTTCTTTCTATTATGATTAGGATGAGGCTTAAAAATTGCCTTAACCATTGAATACTCTTTATGAACTGTAGTGGACAAATGAGAAATCTTATTATACCCCCTTACCACACTCATATTTCATTCATGTTTAAGGTCAATTTCCTAGTTACACTGTAAGGTGTAAATTTGTGTTAAAAGCAGGTTTTTATTTTGTATATGTTTTAATAGTATTGGCAATTCATATTTTTAATGTAAGCAGACCATCCAACCATAGTGTTGTTGCTAACAAAACACTATGGTTGAATGGTTTGCTTATATGTGATCTGGGTACAATATCGACTCCGTTGGGAATAAAAGTAAAATCGCTGTTTCTTTCTAGGTTATTATGTAGTTAACTAACATATGTAAAAATATTTGTTTTGCTTTATACTTTTACACACCTATAGAAAGTAGCACCATATTGGTTCTGGAGAGTAACATTGGCTGCTGGAGGGGGCAGAAAACCCGGGAGACACGCGCAGCGATATCCTCCCCTTCTAGTACCAAACCCATGCAGTGGTAGGCACTGTGACAAAAATAAATACGTTTATAAGGAACATAGAGCACAAGGGAAACATACCTGAAAGGGTACAATTTGGCACAAGAAACACAACTGACAACATGTTCAATCAAGGAGGGTTTGAGTTGGAGGAGAGGTGAGAAAAATAAGTAGCTAAAAAAATAAGCTAAAAATAAGTATATGAAACTGGACCCTGCTGTCAGTGGTGGTTGCAAGGGGGTGACTCGCAACTTGGTTTCAACTTTGGTGACGGCGGAGAAGGGCAAAGCCCGTCCCCACAGTTTGACTCTGTAGATATGAGGTTTATACATACAGTTTGTCATAAAAATTTACCTGAGGTTTGTGGATACAGATATAGACATAAAAAATAGCTTTAAAAGTCGCCAAACAGAGTCGAAAACTGTAAATTTTCAAAAATATGAAGTAAAATGTAGCTGAAATATCACAATTTGTTGTTTTAAAATGAGGTAGAATAAGGCTATAAGCAGTCAGGTTGCATTTAATTTGGCAATAACAATAAATAGTGTTTTGCTATCTTTGTTTTCCATTTCATGGGAAATCAATAAATTTTAATAAGCGGCTATATTAGAGTATTTTTGTACGGTACACTCTTAGATATTTTAATTTTTGAGTTATGATTTTAAAATCTATATTTAGGACCCCACTGAGAGTCAAAACTTTTATTTTTCAAGACACAGAGACTTGACACACAAAATTGTGAAATAGAATTGTTTTGATTTTGTGTTTGAGGTTTGCCACAAGTAGACAAAGGTACTGGATAATATCACAATGCAGTTCCAAATACATTATATTTACTCTTGTTTATATTGGTGGAATAAACTATCACTACATTCATACCAATGGATGTGAAGGCTTAAGACTTACTTTTGTGGACTGGGGATCACAGTTGTGTGATCCTCCGAAGATAGGGCTGTTAACATCATCACACTGGTTCAAGTCTACGAGGTCCAACGAGTAGAACAACCCTGCAGCCTTCCTGTGCCACAGAACTTTGGGTAAGTCGTGGTAAAACACTAAGCTCGAGGAGAAGATAAAGATCATTGTGAAAGAGAAAGACTATACAGTGCTCGGAGTTAAATAGAATGTGTTTCACTCAATTTAACTAACAACCTTCAATCGTTTGGATTATTCCTCCCCTTTTTAAGTTGCATAGTATGTCATGATACGGTGTCAAAGATGTTTTCCATATAAGACACAAAAATGTACCAAAAACATTTTATTTGTTAAGTTTTATTCTTATTCATAGCTGTTAACCCCAAAACATGGGGGTATAAAACATTCAAAGGTGAGAAAGTATACAAACAGGTATACAGGTGCGAGAATTTTAGTTTTGTATGATCTGTTGAAGTGCATGGTGAACATTTAAGTAAATATTCTTCAGCAACATTGACACAGTGCATGTAGATTTTATTTATCATCCTATTGTAAAGTCTCTATATGTTTCAATGAGCGATTCTTGTCAAGTACGCAACTGTGCTGTTTTTGATCAAGTTTACTTTCTTAATTTAGCTCCGACTTTACAATTTGTGCTTTAGTCTCTTGTTATGATATCTAAAAACAATTAATACTTCACAAATAGATTGTTATATTTTGTTGAAATATTTTTAAAGTTGGCTAAAAATCATAAAATGTACCAAAAAAAACACCCTCTGCATAAACCATAATGGAAATACTCCTTTACAACTGTTAGCTTAACCACAAGTTTTATAAATCTACGACAAAACATAGCTATAACTGTCTCACCAAAGAAAAAAAGTATCTCAGCTTTTATAAAGAAATTTTTCACATAAGTATTGAACCTAAACCGGTAAGGAAATATACATAGCTACCAACAAATCCTGAAAAGTAGGTATGATAAAATTGAAAAGCAAATGTTAAATAAGTACACGACAATACACATTAGAACAAGACAATGTATTCAAATAACATCTGAAAACAAGACAACTGAAGCATATCAGAGAGGGTTGAAAGTTCGACATTAGACAAACTCATTTCCATATTCAGATTCGACAACTCTAGTCAAGCCCTGGAGACTGCCAGAGTGGGAATCATCCTCCTGAAATTAATGTCTTCTTTGAGATCCACAGCTGCAGAAAATTGCAAATCTCAATATCAGTATTATCCGCAATAAGCTCCAGTGCAATCTAATTGTAAGGATTAAATTCAACAATGATTGAGTGGAACAAATAATGTAGATATTTCTTCTCTATATGTATGATTGAGTATTTTCAAATTCCAAAACTGAACATTACACCGGATGAAAAATGGATAAATTGCTGAAAACACATTAATACACAATAATAATGAACACAATTAGGTTTGTAGTATGCTATTAACAAAAAAAATCCAACTTGGTTCGTCAAAACTGTTCAGCAATCATACAGAAATCAACTCAGGCATACAATACAGCCATATGTGTTAATGTATTGTTAGAGTTATATTTCTTATTGTTAATTGCCTGTGTGACAAACATTAAACAATTTCAGATTTCAAATCGTTTACACGATGAATGAAGAATTCAACAAATATTAAGTATCTAAACATTATAGTGTAATGTACATACCATAAATGCTAGAAAACATTATTTAAGAATGTATAAGGGATTCACAACTAGAAATTTCACTAATAAAGTGTATAATGTAGAAGTGTATAATGACTTTGGATTACTTGTATAAAACTGCACTTTGATGTTCACTAGTTAGATAATCAGTTTGACCTTCACAGGGGAGCTTGTGTGACACAATCCATGTTTGGTGGCAGTCTGCTCTGATTATACTGATGAATGGATCACAAATGAGCAGCCAAGGACTTGATTGATCCCCATCCTAGGATCAATCAACCTTGAGAGGCAGACTGTGTTCTTAGAACCTTCGCTCCTTCACAGTCTGCCTCTCTAGTGGACCAGTCTCTAGATAAGACTACGTTACCAAAGAAAACTGGATGAGAAATTTAAGCTTTAAAAAATACTATAAGTTAGTTCGTAAGTAAATAAATAAATAAGTTTCTCATCACAATCACTCAGTTCCAAACTAATTTTCCACGACTTAAGTCAAAACAAAAACTAAGAATATACTGTTGAAATAAAACCAAAACTAAACTACATAAATCTAAAATAAAGACATGAACACTTAGTTAGACTTACAGTTTGATTTTTGTAAGAAAATTGGACATTATAAAGTCATTCAATCTCCAGTTGCACTTTTTGCTTTAGTCAGAGAAATGTTTTGTTGTCTTGTCATAATAAAAACATAACCAAGCTTCAGCGTTTGTCTGATGTAAAAAACATTAAATCTCTTAACAAGTTCTAGCATTCATGGTCGTAAACAAATAATTTACATTAAATTCAATATTTAAAAAAAAGTGGGAGTCCCTACAACATAACGACTATTCTTAACTGATTTAGCTTTGTAAAAATAACAATTAATTAAAACTCGAATTACAGAATAGTAAAGATCGTGTCATTTAGAGTTGGTAGTACGAGAGACACAGAAAACTACATTGCCACTCTTCTCTAGAAAGGATCTAAATTGTATCATTGACTATTGGATATTGAAGTTGTACTAGTCAAAGATTGTATCCACATCCTGCTCGCTACTGTAAATAATTTAATCAATGCTAGTGATCAAATCAAGTGATCATTTTTAACTGGAAACGTAATGATTAGAAAATAATAAATCTCAAATAATCAATAGACCCTAACACACAAACCTGTCTCCTTGTAGTGGTGTTGTAAAGCCAAACACCCACTTGCTCAGGTAGCAGTCCCAGAAAGGAGGGGCCCAGAAACCTGGGGTGGTCTTGTTGAGGGCCACCTCCAGGCTGCGTAGGTAGGACGCGCTGCTGGCATTGCCTCCCGGGACATTGTCATCGTCTCTGTACGATATTGACACTGCCCACTTCGACAACTGTGCTACGGTCTGGAACATATCATTTTGGTCATCATCATTTTCTCCTAGAAGACTAAAGAGGTTGTTGTGTTGTTGACAAGGATTTTAGCTGGGTACCAAAATCATTTATATCATTGTACAAATTTTAATTTCAAGCTGCCCACTCCTTGCCATCTACTGCTTTTGTTGTATTGAAGTCAGAGATAATGGTCCTGTTTTTGTATTTGAGATTAAGAAGGTTTAAAAGGATACAGAGGATGCATTAAAAGTGTATTTTTTGTATCTCTGGAGAGATAATAATGGGATTGGTAGGCAGAAATACTTCAGTTTTAGATTTCTATCCTTGCCCTCAAAGTCTTTTGACGACCACCCCATCAAGTGCGCTAAGCGTGTACTGTCAGCATCAAGTGTGCAACTGTTGCCGCTCTGGGACATTTGGTTTTATCAAAGCGAAGGTTAAGGATATTGATTGGACAGTAAAGTTAGGCAGCAATGTCTTGGCTCTAAATCCTAGTGTCGCTGTTTTATCAGTTCACTGTTCATTCATACTATGTCCTGCTCATCCCTTTATTTGTCTACACATCCCACCCCCCTGAAGGCCCATTCAAAAGGCAAACTAAAGTTCAAGAGGCTGACAACTTCTTTGAATGATAAATAGCTTAAAGACACCTGAGACTGTTAAAACCTTGAGAATGCAGAATGAATGTAGTATTGGCGTAAAGCTTGCGACTGGACTCTTTAGCTCAGAGAAGTTTGGAATTTCTGAGTAAAGAGTCCATGATGTGAGATATCAAAGACCTAGGTGTTCTACAGCTGTTGGGATGGACTGAGCCAAGGCCAAAAGGGAGTCTAGGATAGCATGACACTCGGTTCAATTTTAGGGGGGTATAAAAGTGACAATAGTAGAGAGGTGTGTTGGGGGACAGAATCAGCCTTCTTCCAGAAGAAGGAATCCAGAAAGGATATTTTTTCAAGGAAGGAAGTGGACAAGTGAGCCCTAGAAACATAGCTTTAACTTGTTACAAAAGTGATGCTTCTCTTGGCCACCCTAATCTCCTCCCTATATTTGACATCATCACTCTCTATTGCCCAGTTACAGGAGGTATTTTTTTGAGATTGAGATTATTCTATATAGATCGTAAGATGGTGTCTGAGATCTTGGCTATATGAGATTGCCATTTGAGGGTCTGTAAGATTTAAATTCCTTCATTAAAATTCAACCCACCAAAAGGGTTAGGTAGTAAGGGATAGCAATACCTCAATTTAACCGGTACACAAAATCTTGTTTGTCTCTAAATACCAAAAACTTAATGAACAATAAAATTGTATAAAATACATAAACTGGTCAGTTGTGTGGACCTGTATGTCCTGATGTGTGTCCAGCAGTTCCCTGGCCCAGTTGTCTGTGTCCGGGTCGTGTGTGGCGGAGTAGAGTAGCTGTGTTGACGCCAACAGTGCCACTGGCAGCTTGTCTGGCGTGATGGTCACTCGGCGCAGTTCGGCCTCCACACACACATCATCTGCGCCGTCACTACCTGCGCCAGCAGCCACGACGGCCAGCAGTACCAGCACAGCCACAGCGATCATCCCATCACACCTGGCTGGGAAATACGTTGAAGTTAGAAATATATTTGGTTTTTCTAGGTATTCTTAGATGGTTATCAGCTCATTTAATATAGAACTGCAATATATATGTTACACTGAGTCCATTGACAATTTATTTATGTTTTATTTTAATATTTATAGCCTATTTTTACAATTTTTTGGATGTGCTGTATGCACTATTGTTTATGTATTGATTTGCTTAAATTATGATTTTTAAGTATTCATTGTAAATATTTTTCCTCCCGAAACTACTAACAGTAAAGATGATCTCTATAGTTTCTTTTTTGTTTTTCACTATGGGAATGTGATGCAGGTTTTATGGGGTAAAATTTGTTTTTATAATTTTTTACTCGTAAAACCTTTTATTATTTTCAAACTATTTTGTGGAGTCTACAAAAGATTTAGGCCTAGTACATTGAAGTATTGTAGTGTATTTAATCGTTATAGGGAAAATTCCAAAAACTTGTAAATAGAATATTTCTATATTACTTTTAAGGAGAATTAATAAACTGTTTGCTTGTTTGCAAAAATATTTTAGCCTAACCTAATTTGGAAAATTTGTTTACCTATTTCATATTAAATCATCAACATTTCAATAAAAGAACACACTTTTATACCTTCCCAGTAACCTCAAACCTAAGTACTCATTGAAATTAATGTTATTTAAATATGAAATAAAAATAGACATTTTAAGCGAATATTTTAATGGAAACCCAGCTAGATAAAAGGAAATCCACTTTAGTCTGCGGCAGGGATATATTTTACTTAGATGTTAGTAGTATAGATAAAATAAGATAGATTGAAATTTTTGAAACGTACAAATTATTAATGATCCTAAAAACTTTTGTTGTGTGGTTTGCCTAAAAGTCTCAAAGCCTAATGGCCAAGTAGATTGAACTTTCCTCTGATTACCGAAATGCTTAACTCTCTCTCACTCTTTCACTGGTAAAGGTACATTCGTCTTCTCTTCTTTGCCCTCATTTCTTACTTGTCAATAGCAGACGGTAATTTTCTACTGCTTTCAACGTCCGAAAACAACAGCGTACACTCGTACAGTACAAACATTAATGATTTGAACTAAATTTCCCTTTTATTTACTTCAAGGATCGACAATAAATTATTTTCCCACAGCTACATGTAAAAGCAGCAATTTGGCACTGATCTTAATTTACAGTTAGTAGTTGATTTGCTCACACTTTCAATCCAACAATCAATGAAATTCAATTATTTAAGATGGGGACGCCTCTTTGCGTATTTTAACCCAAATATGAGTGAAGGATGAGTGTAGGATGAGTGGCACGATCCTATAGTCTTGTCAGTGAATATTTTTTAGTTCCATAACACATGTACGGTAATTAATAATAGCCATTTTTGCTAGAGTATAACAAAATAGTATATTTTTAGTACAATGTAGTATGTCCTAACTAATGTAAAGTGTATAAATTACAATCTAAAACGATAATCATCCAACAATCGAAATAGTATTCTGTAATATTGAACTGTTGTATCCATTGTGAGTCATATGAGCCACTGAACCATTGTGGAGTTTTGATTGGAATAATGAAAGGAAAGTCAAACAATGAAATCCATGTTGAGATTTTCAACCTCACTAGAAACTGTCTGTTGACTTTTTTATTTATAAAAATACATATTAATTTTACCAATTTACCTGGCAGATACATTCTGACAAAACTTATATTTAATTGGAAAGTGGTTTAAGTGAGTATTTACTCAATTGAGTGTACAGACGTGTTAGGTAATAATTGTATGTAATTGTGTATTCAAGGTATTTTTGCCTACACTATTTGTTGTGGTTCAAATAAATAATACTATATCAGTGGAAAATCTCAATATCAAAGGAACAGGTAATTATTCCTTATCGAGTTAATTTTATCTATTTTAGGGGTTGGTAATTTGACCTTTATAAATCTATTATATTCAAGAAAGAACATGACACGTTTGTGAGGTTATTGCTAAATATGTTTTGATTATTTGAAACAATATTCGATTATGTCTTCCAATAAAAATCAAGTGCAGAAAGTACGTTTCTGAATGTAAGTGTTAGGATAATTAAGTGAAGTAACAGTATTGGATTTTGTTACTAACCAAAATAATTTCAGACAGAAACAACGTCTGTTTTATAACAACAAAACACATTTTATAATTTAAAGAATGTAGACTACAATTAATGTAGAATGGAGTACAATCACCTGTTTAGCTTTGTTACTGACTAAGACCAGCTGTTTCCTTACATAATAAAAACCAGGTGATCTAGGATAGCTGGGTCCAGTTTCTAAGTACTACAAATCTACAGATTTTTCTCAGGATGAAAATAATAAACAACTGGAGTACGACTACTTAAATAAATTTAAACTAATCCGGAATGAGATGAGTCAAATCACATCAACATAGTGACTGTTACTCGTACAATCGTGCTAGTGTTTACAGAAATCACAGTCAGTTATACAAGTATCATGTCACATATGATCCGCCATAACAATGTGGATGTTGACATTTTATCGTTGATCTACCCTATTGTAATAGGGCTGCTCTTACTTTTGCCAAAAACTAAATTTTTGCAAGATCCGTGATCAGTTTCAAACAAATGAAGAATAAGTCTGGTTAGGCTTGATAACCTTTAAAATCTTAGAATTACCAGCTAAGTTTAAAATAAAACTTCTATAAAAAGGTCATTCTTAGTATAATACAATGCATTTATAGAACCCCTTCTACTAAAAGCCAAAAGAAAATAATTATCATTTAATTAATTTATGATATGTATGCTGTATATTTTAGAGATTTGGGGAGAGAGTAGCCAGTCATCCGTAAGCGTCTCGGACTCCGATGTGAGACAAATTCCATCCCTCACATGTACAATGTTTTATATATTTTGCCCCATTACTTTAACATGCTTTATTCTTACAATAAAACTTTGACTTTTGTGAATAAACTCCCATCATAAGTCTCATGGATGGACTCAAGATACTACTTGATGCGGAGTAAAGCATAATTCAGTCAATGTAAGCTGCATGAATGAACACGCCAAGTGGCAGTCTAGAGTTGAGGACCCTCATTATACTGTATGCGTTTATCCTCTTCTCACTTCTTCATTCAACCCCCTCCTCTTCTCTTTCCTCCTCATTCCATTCCTTCCCTACGATCAGTATGCCCATCTGCTGTATCTAACATTATATTCCACTGAGCCCTGTTTAGTTTTAATTTCTTCGTTGGTTTTTTGTATGTATATCTGGGTATCCGAGTCGTTATACCCTAGGTCCTAAGTTTTACCTTAAAATTGGAAGGTTGCTCCGTTGATACTAAGAGAGGCCAAGTCTGAACCCAGATGCTTTTTATTTTATTATTAGGGTAGTTATAAGTTATGCCTCTACAAAGTTCCGACGTTAAAGTAAGGTCAGTGTTTAGATAGTTTCAAATAAAACATGAAAAATTGCGTGAACACGCAAGGATATAGAGAGGTAATCTAAACATCTGAAGATTTTATTCTTGCTTTAAAAATGTTGTATTAAAAGTGATTCCTGAACATGTGACAAAAAATTTGTGAATGGAAATGTCCAATTGATAGAATCCTTTGTCATTTCAACGCGAGACTTTTTGTCCGGACACTTAAGTGGGGTCGTAAATTCGACTTCTTACACCAAACACTCAGACTACCGTGAGCTAAACTTTCTCAATTTGAAACTCGGCAACGGCGTCCATTGTTTTGTTGATAAATGTTAAACGTCTCTAAAAAAAATACACATACAAAACAAAATAAAACACATGTCATTTACGCTATACTGCAGTGAAATTTGCGGACTACATCTGTTGAGCGGGTAAAGTAGTTATGTTATCTTTTGGTGCGAATGGAACAGCTGGATACGATGACATCAACACTGAACACTATCACAGTCCGAAGAAAATAGTTCCGCGCAATAAATACAATATAGTTTTTATTGTTATAACAACTCATTTATTTCGATCGTCATTTAACTTTAATCAATACTCCTTTGTTTATTTTTATACAGTTTTCAGTATTTTTTATTGCGTGGGTTGAGTCTTACAAAAAATGTCTTCAAACAGTAACACTTATTCATTAAATACGAACAAAAAAAAGAACGAATCTATTTAGAAAGATGGATAATGGCAATAGATGTAAACATGTGACAATTCTGCGCTTTGTTATTTAGTTATCTTAATAAACAAATCAAATGTTCGACTCTCACTTATTTCCGGCCTTGAATTCACTTATCAAACTGGGGGGGGGGGCTCGTGTAAAAAGAACACTCTCTTTAGTGATGAAATCCTATATATAATACGAGTAAAGTTTGAATACTTGTCAACTCGATCTGGGAATCGGCCCTAACAAAAACGTTTATATTTACGGAATAACTAAGTTCTGGGTCAAAAATAAGTTCTAGACCAGTGGTATAGCCAGGAAAAATCTATTTTCGCCATAATTTGAGTATAAACTTTTGAAAATTTAACATGGGCCTTATGAGAAAACATTCCGCCATTATTGTCATTTTACATTTTAAGACATAACGTGACGTTCTGTACCCACGGGCACCTCAGCTAGCGCATGCTCAGAAAGCTCTTGAAGCACTTTCCGAGGATATGTAGCATATGTTTACACAGACCAAAAGGAAATAACAATGTGTATATACAGTGTGTAAATTAAGTATGGAAACAAATCCGTATTTTTAAAACCGAAATAGATAGAAATATTCTATTTGTGGCAATAATAGTTAACAAAGATTCCGCAATTTTTCACATGAAAAATATTTTTTTACCCCCCTAACAGGGTAGGTGGTAGGGGGTGACTTATTTTTTTCAAATAGCAACCCCTATTGAGTGACCCCTCATTTTGAAGGGTTTGTCAAAAGAAACACAATGACGCAAATCCGAGGTGAATATCTCACTCCTAGCTAACATGGCGGATATTCCAAAATGGGCTTTTTTACAAAAATTAAATTTTTCATTACCCACCATTTAGGCT